CTACTGAACGTGACAAGGACCGGTGATTAGGGTGCTCGACTCACAATACACAATTAGTCTATAGAGCGTTATAATGTCACGTTCAATCCCAGTTTTCGTTGGGAAAAGTATCCCAATAGTTAGTATTGTTCACTAGCTGCCTTTTCTTTATTGCGTTTTATTGCAGGCTGCGCTAGATTACCTCTCTATGAAGTTCATCAAACACCGCTATTATCGTATAGCGTTACATTTTTTCATATTCGTTCTTTTAACTTTTGTGATTTTTTCCAAAGCTTATATATTTGATAATGTTCGAGCAAAATATCAGGTGACTTTTTTTATGTAGATAACTTTTTACAATAGTTTTCGAATACCTATACCGCTGATTTTAATTTTCGAAAAGTTAATGAAATTCATATCTTGAGAATGGAAATATATTCTTTGATGTACCGAGAAATTGTGACTTATTATCCTTATGAAGAGGAAAACCGTTTTCACTAAGATGCTACTGTTCTCTCAACTGAAGTAACATCCTAGTTACCTCAGTAGTTTACGAGTTGTACATTTTCATATGAACTATAAAGCAATAATTAAACTGTTTTCGGTTCTTGTAGAGCAAAGGTAAACTTTTTATAAATCTGACTTATAATATTCAAATTTTATTTTCGTCAATAAACATCCCTATCTCTACGAAAAGCTCTGATGTCCAAGAAATATCTTAGTTATAATTTTAAAAACAATGTAGATTGTATTTTAAGACCACTGACGGGAACTATATTATAAAAAAACAATGATTTCTTCAAGGTGTCCACATCTTGGAAATGTCACATTGAGGGTGGTTTCGTAAAAAGTCAGTTATTAAATGGTTCAGTTAAAAAAAAATTAATTGTTAGTTGAAATTGTGACAAGAACTACAACATTTGGAAGATATGTTGATGATTCAGTTGTTTCTTTTAGAGACGAAAATGTGGTAAGGAAAAGTGTAGTAAAGTATAGAAAATATAGTTCAATAAAACTGGTGGCAGGGAAAAAGAGAATATTGGGAAATTATGCTTTTGAAAGTATAGGAAACGAAGAAAGAAATTTTGAAAGCCAACTAAAATACGACGTTCAACAGCATTAAAACGGAAGAACAAAGATTTAGATATGGTACAAAAGTAATGAAATTAGTCGGAAATGAGGAGATATTTAATAAATCAGAAGAAACTCTACGAAGAGTTTCATTTCGTAAATAGTGAA